CATCCACAAACCAGGCAAGCTTGAGAACCACCCAACCAACTACAGACCTATCTCTCTGACTTCTATTCCCTGCAAAATCATGGAACACATGATTCTCAATTGGTTAACTTTTTATCTTAACCTCAACAACCTACTAGACTCTCATCAAAGAGCTTTTAATAAATATCGAAGCACAGAAGATTCAATCTTTTACTTCGTTCAACAAATCCAGGACAGCTTCCATCACAAACCTACAAAATCTACTATAGCAGCCTTCATCGACCTTTTCCAAGCCTTCAACAGAGTCTGGAAGGAAAAGCTAATTCTCAAACTCGATGAACTTGGAATAGAGGGAAGTATGCTGAGTTGGATCAGCAATTTTCTATCCAAACGAACCATACAGGTCAACTTCAACAACATCAAATCAAAAACCACTCGTATTTACCAAGGTCTACCCCAAGGATCAATCCTAAGCCCTATTCCCTTCAATATTTACCTAAATGATGTACACACTTTTATCAAACCACCAGTTAAATTTGCCCTTTACGCAGAAGACATAATTATCTGGGTCTCCAAAAATAACCTCTCTGATGCAGAACATTCTCTGAATAAAGCCATGAAAAATCTGCAAATGGTAACTCAGAAACTGAAATTATCCATTAACATCAGCAAATCTGAAATCGGCCTCTTCACCATCAACAACCACCTTCGCCACTGGACCCCAAATATTTCCTTTATATAACTAAAAACTCCAATATTCAGATTCCCCAAGATATCTTGGTGTCACACTCGACCCTGATAAGCAAAGCCAAAATTAGGCTCAAAATCCTGAAAAAAAATATCAGGCTTAAACTGGGGTGCGAATGCCAATATCTTACGCACAACGTACCTTGCACTCATAAGACCTATTTTGGAATATGCTACACCAGCCTGGATCAATGCAAGTAAAACTAAACTATCCAAAATAGACAGAATCCAAACAAGTGCAGCTAAAATCATCAGCAGGCTTCGAGGATCCTGCCCAAATTGCATTACTGAACTCTAATCCAACCTTCTTCCCCTTCACCTAAGGAGAAAAATCTGCTTTTCAAAATTTATAACAAAAAAGATTAACTCTCCAAAAGAACATCTTACAGGAAAATTTATTAGAAATTGGGTCCCAAGCCAAAGACTAAAACGCCCCACTCCTCTCAACCTGGCCCACAACTCTAATCTTTTAGACATCCCAATTAATCCCAAACACAGAACTTCCTATCCCCCACACAGAACTCGCAACAAACTCATCTGTTTCCCTCATCTACCAGCCAATCCCCACAAACATGAAATTCAGCCAGAATTACTTAAAGCTCTTGGCCTCCAAATCTTTGAGGAAAATAGCTCCCCCTTCGACATCACAATTTACACTGACGGTAGCCAACTTGAAACTGGACTGTGGCAGTGGAATTGCTATCTACAAAGATAAGATCCTGGAAAAAATCTCCCTCTCCCACCCTAGACACCTTTCAGTTTATAAATCGGAACTCTCTGCAATAGATATGGCTCTAAAAGACATCAACATCAACTCGCCAAGCAAAATAATATTCTACTCCGACTCAAGAGCAGCCATTTATACCTTTCAAAGCTGCCTCTCCAGTCAAGAACCTCTCCACAAGAGCATTGCTAAGTCTGTAAACCGACTCCCAGCCAACAGCTCAGTCACAGAGCAATGGCTTCCAGCTCACATTGGAATTCCTGGTAATGAGCTGGCAGACTCTCTGGCAAAGGCTGGAGCTCTTGGCCTACCTGAAGCCAGAGAAACTACCACACAACTAGATGAAAGAGACCTCCTCCGTACCATCAAAACCCAATGCCTGCAGGAATGAAAATCTAATGCTGCACATGACTGGTGCAGAGCAGGAGGGACAAGCACCGGTTCTGTCCTTCCAAGAGAACAACAGTCTTTGATTTCCAGACTCAAGTCTGGTCGACTACGGATAATGACTTTCCAGAATGGTTGCAGTGTTTTCCCACTATGTACTAAGTGTAATTTTCAGCCTGTAACCCCAAGACATATTGACTGTATTGACTCATCCATTGATGAGCTCTACTCTTCCCCGGCATACACCATCAAAAGTCTCAAGCTTTACAAGCTTGATACCTTAGTGTGATTGAGGGGAGATAAGAAAGAAGAAGAAGGAAGAAACAGACAGCATCAAACAACACTAACAAGATATAGAACAGGCCATCTCAAGCCATTGAAGATAGAAAATAATAACAAAATATACCCCACTTGCCCAAAATGTAACTTGGCACCTTCAGCTCCAGAACACATTTTGGCTTGCATTATATGCACTAAACAGGACCTTTGGGAGAGGCTGCTGCTTATCATAAAACAGCTCAAGGAGCATGAACTCATGAAATTTGTGTAATCTTTACACAAGGGGATAAGAAACAACAACAACATAATCCAAATTATGCTTCTTATCATTGCATTAGATTATGAAATGATCCATATAAATTTCTGTGTATACCTGTAAGATAATCTTTTAAAATTTCAACATAAAACATTTTAACATTTCAACATAGAGCATTTTATAAATTTAATAAGTGTGTTTAGCTTACAGCCAAACTTTGTTATTCTGCTTTCCTTTTAAACACCCTATCTCACTTATAGTGCACTTCCTACACCCTGACTGTGTTAATGCATTAATCAAAAGGCTTATTTTAGAGATCAAAATCAAACAATTTTTTTTTTTTGAAAAACCCAATATTTTACAAAGCTGTATCTTCATCAGGATCTCCCTACAATTACAAGGTAATAAAACCAAATCCAAATGAATAAATAGTGTGTGACATTTTGGTAACAGCGTTGCTACCATCATCAGACAAATGAATAAATCTTATTTTTTCTGATGATGGTAACAATGCTGTTACCGAAAAGTCGCACACTATTTATTTATTTGGCCTTATTACCTTGTAATATCTATAATCCAAATAGCACCTTATAATCATGTGTGTGCTGCAGGCTATATCTCCAGGGGACTCGTACCATCATCGACAACCTAGACACTGGCTTCAGCGTCACCCCTGTGATCACCACCTACGATGGACCCCTGGATTGCTTCAACACCATTGTGAGGAATGAGGGAGCTGCCGGACTCTTCAAGGGCTTCGGTGCTCTCATCCTCCAGTACACCCTGCATTACGCCATCCTGCACTCCTCCCTGCTGGTCGTACGCAGCCTGCAGAAGCCTGCACCGCCTGCGCAGCAAGACTCCCAAACCTCCACGCGGGACAACACCATGACACCCCTCCTTCCACTCTAGTACACCCATTTCTTCCCTATTTATTACCTCTAGACAGCGTTGTTTTGTAATTTACAGCTCCCCTTGCTTTTAATTTGATAATGCACATCAACAATTGTGCTGTTTAAAATGTACATATTATTTTTTTTCTTCTCCCCCCCTCCCCCCCTTTTTTTTTTTTCTATCTTACTTTTGTTGGTTTTTTTTTTTTAATAAAAAAAATTATATAAAAGTTATATAAAATATAAATTTATGTTTTGTTTTTATTTGTTATATTAGTTTATTATTATTTTTTTTTATTTAAAATAAAATGTGCAGATATTGAGGCAATATTTTGCTCTTTTTTGCAGTAATAGCACTTTTGAGCATAAAGATATTACATGGCTTTAAAAAAAATCATTATTCAAAGAAATATTCCCCTTTTTTAAAGTTGTTAATAAAGTTGCTAAAAAGTTGATTCAAATAAAGAATTTAGTTGTTTTGATTCCTCACAATGTCCTTACGCACATTAGGTTGGGTTCCATATATGTGCAGTAAGTTAGAAATGGTATAAAATGATTGACCTGTGTTTTTATATATTGGTTTGATGACAAATTGCTTGTTTAAATAAATTCTGGGGGTTTCTCAACATTGAATAGCTATACACCAAATCTTACTACAAGGTAATAAGACCAAATCCAAATAGTGTTTTTTAAAAACATGCTGTGGTATTTTTTATCATTTAGTCTTTTATCTGATGATGGTAACAATGCTGTTAATGAAATGCCATACACAATTTATTTATTTAGATTAGTGCAAAAGTCGAACTGTTTTCACACATGTGTAGACATGTGGTGCACTTACAGTAAATGCAGTCGCCAACTTCTTCCCATGATTATAATAGCCTGTTCCACATGTAATAGGGATAATAATATTAAAAAATTATTTAGATTTGGTCTTATTATCTTGTAGTTTTAATCTACTAGCCGAATGACCCTGGCAACGCCCGGGTTTTACCCGATTAAATGCTTTTATTCAAGTACTATTCGTTACAATTATAAATTGGCGCCGTGGATGTCATTCTTGTGAAACGTCCCGCTCCAAACTTTGTGTCTGAGAAGCGATATTTTTATAAAGAGATGATCTGGCTTTGTGTCTTCTGTTCGAATGAATGTTTTTCTGTTAGAATTTTGTTCCTGCATACTAAAAATGAACTGGCTTCACCCGTGGTCTCTGCTTTTTGGAATTTTTCCCGATATGATTTTGTATCTGATAATCAAATATGATACAGCAATATTGTCATAATCATTTTCTGACTAAAAAAAAAACAACTATTTTTGCCCAGAACCTGTCAATTTCAATTTTTCTTGGCTAAAAATGCGACAAATATCTCTTCCATATATTTTTCTATGTCCTGTTAAAACATGTTTTACATGTACATTAGGTCAGCTGATATTACCTTCATCTTCACCGCTAGAGGCGCTGCTTGCGAGCAAAAGAGCAAATTTGCAACTCAAATTTGCAAATAACTCTAAGAATATTCGGGATAGAGACCTGAAATATTCAATATAAGTTTTTCCAGATTCTACTATACATACTGCTAAAATTTCAGTCATATTAGTTACGTATTTTACGTATATTACATAAAAGCATTCCATTCACAAAAGCAAATGATGACAGAATTGATGACTCTGATACTTGTATATTTCAATAATAATAATATAAATGAGTTTTAAAAATTGTAAAAAAAAAAAAAAATGCACGGCCGAGAATAGAACCCAGGCCGCCCGCGTGGCAGGCGAGCATTCTACCACTGAACCACCGATGCTTATAAGAAATGGCCATATTTGGGTATTTATTCCATTCACAAAAGCAAACTGTGACAGAATTGATTGATTGTTGATGACTCTGATACTTGTATATTTTAATCTAAATTTTGTCTTGATCATCAGACCAAATAAGTAAATATACATGATGTTTAGCAAGAGCTTGTCATTTTTCAGCAGTTTGTATTTTGAAATATGTTTTTGATTGGGTTGCTCTTATTAGTGGTAATCAAGGGTGGATTGGAGTGTCTGCATTGGTCTCTTTTAAAATAATAATTTGCTTCAAATTTTCAAGATTTTGCACCAATTAATGCAAATTGGGTTCTTAATTCTATATGTGAGACACCATGACATGTATTATGGGTATCAGCAGGTGTTTTCATAGAGCCAGAAATTTTCAGAATTACCCGGGATTGTTTCAGAGCTATTTTAGATTTTATTGTTTTAGAACATATATAAACATGGTTTAAGATAAATTATTATCATTTTTAACATTTTTTTTTATTATCCCTAGTACAACGTGGTACAGGCCATGATAATCATGGTGAGTATAAGTTGACGACTGCTTTTACTGTAAGTGCACCACATGTCTATGCATGTGAAAAGAAGTTTGACTTTTATACTTACAAATATGCAAGAGCCCCGTTTGGTTACTTGCACTCTCTGGTGGGGTTGAACTTTTACAAGAATCGGGGACCATTGGAGCATTTTTTTTTTAAACAGAAAAAAGTGTCAAATGCAGGAATCAAACCCGGGTCATAATGGTCGAAAACCAAATGGTTTAACCAGCCTTCCACCGATCCCCTAGTATAAATTATTTAACAAGGAGTGCCAGAAGTATTTCAACTTATTTTGTTGGGGGTGCATTAAGCTTTTTAGGATAAATTGGAAGGTTTTAGAACAACTTTTAATTTTTTATTGTCAGCATATGAGCTTGCTTAAATAAATTCTGACTCCATATTGGTTTTTGAAATGTTTTAAAACTTGTTTAGGTGTAATAAGATCAAATCCAAACAAATAAATGGTGTGTGGCATTTCGGTAACAATGATGTTACGATCATCAGACAATGATAGCAACAATGCTTTACCAAAACATCACACATCATTTATTTAGATTGGGTCTTATTATCTTATAGTTTTAAACTATGATTCAAATTGTACTTTATCATTGTATAGGTGTATTTCTTAGTCCAGCTCGAGGAGAATGAACTCATGGAATTTATGTAATCTATACACAAGATCTATACAACAACATTTCTTAGTCCTTTAATCTGGTTGACTGTTGTTGGGTAGGGTCTTAATAAGGTACAACAAGTTATTGTTGGTGTGGTGTATTTAGGTTGATTTAAAAGTAGAAATATATTTTGGGCTTTATTTATATATATGGCTTTAATTATATTACACCGTATTAGATGCAAGCTTAAGAATTACAAGTTAACAATTGAATTATATGATGATAAATTATATGTTATGATATATACACTATATCGCAGAATAATAATCTGTGGATGTAATATTATTATATTAATATATTATATACAATATTATATTATATAATTAAAATATAAATATATGACAGTTGGGGCAACATTTTTTTATTGGAGGCTCAAGGAAGAGGCCGCCCTCAACACTTGCTCTTCCTTGACTGCTGTGTCTGAAGCTGGGACCTGTCAACAATCATTGGCCATCTCTCCCATCACATCTGTTTGATCTGTTTGCCTGGGTTGGGGAAACCTCTATTCTGAAATAACTTTCTATCCTCTGTGTCTTGTTCTAACTGATGATCTAAAGAGAAAATATCTTTTGAATTTATAAATGGATGTTGATATCCTATTGCCAAACTTGTCATATCTGAGAGAAAGACATACATATATCTGATAATTTAAAACCCTGTCATTCTACCATGTCCCTGCATATGTCCCACCTCCTTGTACCCTGTACCAAACTTATAACTACTGTATAACATGATGTACTGTTAAGAGCCAAATAAAATACGGACTGTATGTCAGACAGACAGAGAAAAACAAGGAGACAATACGATTATAGATATTAATAAACAATTTCAGTTAGGTCTAGAGTTCAGAGGAAAGATTCCCATCTAACAACATTAGCGCTAGGTCAACAACACTTTTATTCCAGAGAACTCCAAGACAAAGGACCCCGGAGTTGAATTCGCTAAAAACAACTTTATTTGGGTCAATGCTCCATCCTCACATTTTCTGCTATAACTATCAAAGATGGGTTCCCAGTTGTTTGAACCAATCAAGGCGATTCTTCATCTTCCATTAGTAATGAATGACCAAACCAAATCTCAATAGAGGTCACGTGACACCACCCGACTGGAGAAGCCTCAGTAGCGTCTCCGAGTCTCATCCATACTAGACGTGTCTCCTGAACCAGCGTAAATCGCGGGGCGTAAGCTCACTCTCCTCCATGTTCTTTGTCTGTCAGCATCGGTTCCCTTGACCAACCTATCCTGTGTCCTCACTCCTGTCATCACGGCTGCAAATTCACCCCAATCCAATCCCAACTTCCAGTTGACAGCACCTTCGCTGTCACAACTACCACAGAGTAAATGGAGAATCGGCAAGATTCTCAACAGAAAAGATAGTTGACAGGATAAAGTATGGAAGGACAAGTAACCGAAGAGGAAGGACTTACCGCCCCACCGGAAGGATCAAAAATAGAATGGCCCTCTGAACGACACTCTACACCAGGGGATGTGAACGAAGACAGTCGCCTCACCGAGGCGCTTGTCCTGCTGAACACCGTCTTTGCCAACCTGAGGAGTGGTCCACAGAGAGTGGACAAAGCTGAAATCCACTGCACACCTCAACGCGGCAGAACTGCTGCAGCACCGCCCTCACCTTGCCGCCACTGTGGAGGTCCGCATTGGAATGCGGATTGCCCCCACAAGAAGGGGCACCTTAATGCACGTGCGATGCACCTTAGCACAAGTACAAGGTCTGACCAAAGACAGACAAGGCTCAAACCATCCCGGGAATCCAGACCAGCCCAAGCCGCAGAGAGCCAGGTAGGCACCCCTTTCGTCCAACAGCTAATTGTTAGACTTTCCATCCAACCCTCTCTATCCCTACCATTCCTTGTTGACACGGGTGCGAGCTTTAATATAGTGCCTCAAAATATGTATTAGTACTTAAATAGAATTAAAAAACTAAAAATAGAACCCCAAATCACCACCATAAACTCCATAGCAGGTACCATTTCTACCTTAGGTCAATTTTCGACCCCCATAACCCTAGGACAAGTGACCACGGCAGAGAGATTCCATATATTGGACGCCCCTCTGCCGTTTGGAATACTATCCATTAACACTATAAAGAATTTAAAATTAAAAATAGATTTTGAAAAAGGCACTATGATACAGCTCTGCGCCCTTTTGCCACGTGCTACCTACCACTTTGTATGTGTTTCCGGCGAATGTACCTATTGGCAATGCAAAACGGAAATGTTGAAGGCCAACCTAACATATAAGCCCCACGCACCCGGCAGCCAATATGCGCATTCGTTGAACACGCATGTAATATCACTCTTTGGCCAAGCCTACTTTCGTCGCATGCCCCCCGCGCAACTCTCACCAAACTCATACACGAAATGTATCAAACCCAGGTGTCCCAAAAAAACCAAAACACTTTTTCAGCATGCCCAACGAGCGGCATCACCTTACACACCGTGCCTTGCTATACACAATGCCCAATGTCCCACATGTAATACTCAAATGGAATACAATCGCTCTAGCCATGTACCACCAGTGTCCCCCACACTACTGGACTGGATAAGTCTTTCCATCAAGGTGGACCTCTTTGAGGATGCCTGCTATGCCGAGTGTTGAGCCGTTACAGTACACCTGGCATGGCAGACCTTCCTGATAAAGGTGTAAGACTGGATGTGTGGTGAGGGAGTCCTTTAGAGCGTTGAATGCCGCTTGGCACGCTTCATCCCAGGCCCATATTGTATCTTTTTTGAGAAGGTTATTTAGGGGTATACGCAAGCGGGCATATTCTGGAATGAACGGGTTACGGGATAGGAGATCCGCTTCATGTTGTTGCGCGCCTTTTATGTAGCGGACTTCATACTCATAACACGATAATCTCAAACTCCATCTAAACGATCTGCCTGACGGGTTTTTGATCGTCTCCAGCCATTGCAATGCGTGATGGTCAGAAAATATTGTAAATCTTCTACCCATGAGGTACACACGGAACTTCTCCACGCTCTCGACAATCTCGACCACCTACAATCGTGACAACACCTCACAATACGCTACCACACGTGTGCACGCCATCCAACCACCACACAACCGCAAAACATTACAGTTCTTCCTAGGTGCGGTGAACGCATATAATAAGTTCATTCCAGAATATGCCCGCTTGCGTACACCCCTAAATAACCTTCTCAAAAAAGATACAATATGGGCCTGGGATGAAGCGTGCCAAGCGGCATTCAACGCTCTAAAGGACTCCCTCACCACACATCCAGTCTTACACCTTTATCAGGAAGGTCTGCCATGCCAGGTGTACTGTAACGCCTCAACACTCGGCATAGCAGGCATCCTCAAAGAGGTCCACCTTGATGGAAAGACTTATCCAGTCCAGTACTTCAGTCGTGCTCTGCGCACACACGAACGGAATTATACTATCTCCGAACTAGAATGTCTCGCAATTGTCGAGAGCGTGGAGAAGTTCCGTGTGTACCTGATGGGTAGAAGATTCACAATATTTTCTGACCATCACGCATTGCAATGGCTGGAGACGATCAAAAACCCGTCAGGTAGATCGTTTAGATGGAGTTTGAGATTATCGTGTTACGAGTATGAAGTCCGCTACATAAAAGGCGCGCAACAACATGAAGCGGATCTCCTATCCCGTAACCCGTTTAGTGGTTTATTAGACGCCAACCTTATTAAGAGCCACCAACAACCCGCTCCTTCTGGAGAATCCAAACTGATCCTTAATCGCAACGGACTCCATACCATGACTCG